AACAAAACTCCAACCCATCTTTTTTTTTTTACCGGTAGGGCAAGGCTAGATACAGAATGCAGTTTAAAAAAATATAAGAGGCCTAATACTAATGTCTTATGACAAGTATAATTAATAGGCGCTATATATATATATAATACATTTAATCAATTTTCATGAACTGTTATGGTGTGAACGAAATGAAACGAGTTGGGAAAAAATTTCTACGGAAAATTAACCAACGAATACAGAGGCGTAACAATATTCTTCCTTGTTTTCAATCATGAGTTCACAGAATTAGTAATGTAGTTTTCTGGTGTTACTTAATCCTCTCCTGGAACAAGAACTAAAGTTGAGTAGTTTACTGATTCGTCTGTTCTTGTGAAGTATGGTAAAGTTAATTAAAAATAAAAAAATAGTAATAATAAATGAGTAATCAGTGTTAAAATAAACAATGTTGTGTTATTAATTATTTCCTTAAAAATCTGATTTGTAAATAACTTAAATAAAAATGATGATTATTACAATCCAAAAATTAGTCTTAAGAAGATTAGAAGTTTCCTACTTTACCAACCTGACATTTATTTTTTACTCACAGATATTTTTTTCAGATCTTCCTCAGATGGAGATTCAAACTCTTCTTGGAATAATACTAGTTTGTTAATCACGTCTTCTTGTGAAGGATCAAGAGGTTTTATTCCTGGGATCTGAGGTTTTTCTTCCTTATCAAAGCAGTTTACTTCTTTTGTAGTGCTGTTCGGTTTATCTTTCTCTCGTTGACCCTTTTTGGATTCTCGCTTGATGGCACACTGATACTCTGGCACCACACCTATTACAAAAAAATACCTCAGTACAATAATAAAGTTTAAATTCACAATAATGGAACAATAACACATTGTTCAATTATTGTGGATTTAAATTTAAATTCTGGTTACTTTAAACGGTATTGTATATTTTCCTACTATTAAAACATCAGGTAATCTATGACAAAATATATTTTACAAAAACATAATTACATTGTTTGTTCTTGCTTAAAAAAATAAAAATTTAAAGGTCATAGGTTAAGAAAAGATAACAGTTTATTAAATCAGGAACCCAAGACCCCTCACATACCAGGAAAGTGCTTTATTTGTAGATCATAGGATAAGAGTTTATTAAATTAAGAACCTAAGACCTCTCACACACCAGGAAAGTGCTTTATTTAAAGGTCATAGGTTAACAGTTTATTAAATTAGGAACCCAAGACCCCTCACACACCAGAAAAGTGCTTTACATCTCACTACCAGTTGCTAATAAGGAACTTTTTAACAACTCAAACTATCACATCACTAACAAGTTTCCCGAAGTCTGATATTTTCCAGTTAAGAGCTATATATCTAGTTTCTACGTATATATTAATAGTGGTTATACTGTGATTACTACAACAGAAACGTTTTTGAAATTAGAAAATAAATCTTCGGACAATTCAAACACATTATATTGTTGCGTCAGCGAGGTCACGTGACTAGTGTCACGCCACGTTTTCTAGAAATATCCTGTTCCTTCGTGAATGCCCTAGCATTTACTAGATTGGGGGTTGGCTGGTATATATAAGATGGTCACAACGTGACGGGACAACAGTGTAATGAGTAATTGAACTGCAGTCAGAGAGTATTGTTGAAGTTGAGCACGTGAGAAGTTCGTTGAGAATTATAGTGTTTGTTACAGAGCGACTGTTGAAATTAAGTGTATCGTAAAGTTGTATTCCGAAAGAATAAACCAGTTTTATTAAGTTACGGAAAATCAACTAACGAACGGAGACGTAACAATATGTTCAAATTTACAGCTTCTGTAATCCAAAATTATGACACACACACACACTTCAAGACGAACATGAAATAAGAGCAATAATCTATACCAAAAGAAAGGTTCAATTTGGTTCAACAATGCTTCTACTACAAAATAACCATTCCTATTTTACCTTTACCACATGCTACTTAAAGCAACCCAGAACTACTACATACGGTCATATTCCAGTTAGCTGGCTGAGCTTTGTATTTGACAATAAGCCTAGTCGGCACTAGATATAGTAAATATAGTGTGTTGTCTGTCAGTCAGTAGACACTAAAATGACATCACATATGGGACGCTTAACGCTGCAATTTGTACTGTCGTGACGTCAATAAGATATTCGCATGTCATGAAACACGAGAAGAATTATGCATACTGTAGGTTACAACACAGCACGACATATGAACTTCAAAAGCAAGAAATAAAAATATTTGTTACTCTTAATTTTGGTTTTATTTACTCTTGAAATAGAACACTTTCAGAGACCATGCAGAAGTACATCTAGTAACATATTGTTACGACAGCGGAAGTCGCGTGACGCTGGGAGCATGCGCTGGAGTTCTAGAAAGATCGAGGAACCTGTCGAACGTCCTAGTGTTTGCCAGACGCCCTCTATTTTGTATATATATAAGAACGGCAAGAAGTGACGGCAGAGATAATTGCAGACAGAGAGATATAGAGACAGATAATCGAGTCAAGCCGTAAGTAAAGTGCGTGAATCGTTGCGAATTCTAGCGTGTGTTGAAGTTAAAATGACTGTGGAAATTAAGTGTATTGCAAAGTTATATTGAGAAAGAATAAACGAGTTTTATTTAAGAAAGGACTTGTATCGCTGACGTTTTTCTCGTTATTTGTATGAATGGATCATTATTAATAACCTGTTTACACTTGATATAAAAAACCATATAACCTGAGCACCCCAGTATATCTGAGTACTTGTACTGCTAGAAACTGGGTTTCGATACCCGTGGTGGACAGAGCACAGATAACCCTTTGTGTAGCTTTGTGCTTAACAACATAACCCAAGTGCTTTTAAAAGTGCTCGGGTTATAGGGTTCTTATCATTTTGAATCAAGAGTTATTGAACCTTCGTGACTGTTTACACTTATATATCTTCAGCACCAAGTTTCAGGACTGAAGGATTACCAAATTTATTATCTGTGACATAATTAAATGAGAAAAAGTTATATTTTAAGATCTCTATGACTAGATAACTATAACTACCACTTTGGTCAAGAGAAATATGTGTGATACATCCCTTTATTGAACCAGTGAGCTTGCACTGTTTAGATTAAGAAAAGTTGGTTAGAGTTATTATGATGTAGTAACAAAATTGCTGGTGTTCAAAGAAATTATAAAAATCATTTATCATTGACATCTTTCA